GGGGTGGGACTTTCTTTGGTCCGTTCTTGCCGCTGAGCGATGCAGCCAGCATGATGTTCCACGGCACCTGAGTGGGTGTTCGGTCTGCAGTTCTTGCCGCGTTTTGGCAAATGGGAAGCATCACTCAAAGTCTTTTGTGACTGAATTTTTAACTGCCCAGTCCTATGAGATTTGAAGGTGTCAGAGTTGTTCCCCTCCCAGTTGCCGTTTTTCTTAGTGGTACTGTAGTGTACACAGAAGGCTAAACCGAGGCCCCTTCTTTCTCCAGGGTTTGTTTTTTTTGTTTTTTGTTTTTGCAATGCTAGTGATCAAATCCAGCTTCTCATGCATTCTAAGCACCCACTCTACCACGCAGCTGCACTCCGAGTTCCGTCGCTTCTCCACAGCGTTAACCTGCAAACAATGCTGTTGGTCAAGGCTGTAGAGGGAGTTTAATAGTCCACCTGATTATTCTGGTTCCTACTCCTAGTTAGGAGCCACTGAACAGTAGTTTATATTCAACCCAAATCATTAATAAGCACTTTATTTTTAGAAGCGCATAGAAGAAAATAAAACCGGACTTTGCAGTTTCTTTTTCTGACACACATCTTGCTGCCAATATTTTCCCGAAAGTGTACAGAACAGGCAGATGTTGTGACACCCAAGTCACCTGAGCCGTTTGGTTCATAGGTAGCATCCGAGGGACCCCAAGACACCCCCTAAGCCCCTCCATGCATTGCCTTGGTTCTCCAGGTTAACTCTGGTTTGCTAGGTAACTGACTTAAAGAAAACCTCTGGTTGCCGGAGATTTAGCTCATTGGTCCCTCGAAAGCTCAAGGTCCCAAGTTCGATACCCGGTACCAAAAAAGAAAACCTCTGATCTCTACTGCACTGAGGATTCCACATCCTCCAGGTGGGGTCAGCTGGGTAGGCTCCAGGTGGTCTGGTCCCACTTGGGTAGCACTGAGCCCAGATTTATCTTGGCATCTCCCAGGCACCTCTACAGACTGGAATGTTATCTTTATATCCAGTCAAATAGTTTTCAGCAAAAGTGAGAATTTAGATTGAAAGGTATGGGTTCATAAGTCCTGGGCAGTTCTTTTACACCACTGACTCCTTTGCTTGCTGTGAAGATGACTGCAGTGCCTGGGGTGCTTCACCAAGACTGGCCACCACCTCCTGTCTCTCCTTTCCTACAGCTGTTCAGGAGCTGCAGTTACTCAGTGTTGTGTGGGTGGTTGCAGTAGTAGGGTTGTCCTGCCAGCACCCAACCCCCCTGTGACTGACTGAGGCTAATTTGTTACTTAACATTACAGCATCCTGAATGCCTTATATCTTCACTGAAACCAGTTTTTCTGGGTTTTTTTGGTACCGGGGATTGAATTTAGGCAGCGGAACCAGTGAGCTAAATCCCCAGCCCTGAAACCAGTTTTTCTAAGGAAAAAGAAAAATTGTGAAACAGCATGTAGGACAGCTTAAATTGTCACCGAATTTTTCATTACACTGTAGAATTTATTTTATCCTATTATTTGGCTTTTTGGCTCCAATAAAATTTTCAGAATAGAAAATGATTTGCAACCAAAATATATCATGCACAGGTACACATTCCCAATGATGAATGTGATCATAGTGTATACCTAAAATATACCGATAAACTTAATGAATTAGAAAAAACTGAATTGCATGTCCAGGGAGATACACCGATCTTGGGATGTTGGTTCTGATGAACCCATTCATTCACCCATGCCACCCACACTCCTATGAGATGTCCCTTTGTCCCTCGGGGTTGCTCATAAACCTTTCCAGTCCCTTTCCCAGCAAGAGGCAAGCCCTGCAGTGTCCTGGCCACCACCCACAAGTGTAGTGGTGCCACCCCACGATATGCCTCTGTCCTGCTCTCTGCCTTCTGTGCTTGAGGTGCCAAAGTAGGCTTCCCTCTGGTGGGTTTCCAGTGTTTATGACTAAAGATGATATGCCCACTTTTGGACATGTCTTTTGTAAGCATATGCTTTGATTTCTCCTGGGAAAATACCTGGAGAGAAACGGCCACAGCCAGGTAGTCCTGCTGTGGTGAGCCCCCACCATGAAGAGGGAGGGCAGTGACCTGGAGCGAACAGTGCTTAGTTCGCCTCCTTTGTGTTATCTGTTCAGATGTCTGTTCTGGTGTCTGATCAAGTCTTTGATCCATTTTTTTAGTTGCTTGGTTGTAAAAGTCCCTTATATACTCTGAATACAGGGGTTTTTTTTGTTTTTTTTTGTACTGGGGATCAAAATCGGGACCTTGCGCTTGTGAAGCAGGCAGCGGCACCACTGAGCTAAATCCCTGATGAATACAGGTTTTTGTCAGGCACCACTGAGCTACAGCCCCAGCCCCTACTTCCATTCTTTGAATGCCTATTCATGTCATTAATGGTGTGTTTAATTTTTTTTTAACTTTGGAATACTTTTACATTAACAGAAATGTTACCTACTTTTTCTGGTAGCGGTACTGTACCCAGCCTCATATACTCATCAGCTAAGGCACAGCTGGGCAGCCACTGTAGGCAAGCCCCAGGTTTTGATTCCTCCTGCAGGACCTCACACTACATTTGGTTGCCACGTCTCCTCAGGCTCCCTTGGGATGTGGCAGCATCTCAGACTTCCTTCCCTGTTCCAAGGAAGACTGGTCAGGTTTTGTAGGATGTCCCTCAGTTTGATATGTCTGGTGTGTTTTCTCATGGTTGTATTGGGCTTTGGGTTCCTGGAAGAGCTACCACAGGTGATTTTGTCAGGTGCCAACCCATTACATCCCATCAGGGCATCCCTGGTGGCCATGCAATACCCCAGGCCCCTGATCACACCCTGGGGATGGTGACTGGACACCTAGCTAAGGTGATGTCTGCACGTGTGCACTCCACAGTTGTTCCTTTCCCTTGTCCCTACTCTCTGGAGGCAAGTCACTGTCCAGCCCACCCTGGGGCCAGATGTGTACCTGTGCTATCTGGGATTCTTTGGTAAGGCGTGTTTCTCCTCCTCATGTACCTGCCTTTTGGCCACTTACCAATGTCACTGTGGACACTGGCTGTGTGCTGCGCTGTGATTCAGAGCTATGCTGTGTATTCTGTTTCTTTTTTTTTTTTTTTTTGGTACCGGGGATTGAACTCAGG